TTTTTGTTATCACCCAAAATATTTCTCACGATTTTGAATATGTGTATAATTTATAAATTATTATTTCTTCTTGTGTGACCTGTTTGTCTCCCAACACCATTTCACTGAATTTAAATTTTCATTCCATTTAACAAAGCGACATTTCAGTTTAATTTGAAAATCGCAATTTACCTCCCACCACTTGTCGTCGCCGCCGAGGCCCTCGAGATTCCGGTAAACCTCGTCGGGAACTTCTCTGCAAATCGAAAACAACGATAACAGTGCACGAACGAATGGAAACAAACGAAGAAGGAAAACGACGGCGTATAAACGAATGAAGCAGCGGAGAGAGTTGGAGGCGAAGGCTTACCGGAGAGATCGATTGGAGAGGTTGAGGGAACCGGAGGCTCTCGCCGCTTTCAGCAACCGATCCATGGCACCGTGCTCAGATCGGATCCAAAGGAAGAGAAATGATTTTCTAAGGAAGATAGTAATAAATACTTTCTAGCATCACAAAGTGTGTTTATACTTCATAACATCAATGAACGTGACGGTGTGTATTTCGATTTGGTGCAATTTCAAATCACTTTGGGGGTGCAAGTGCAACCATAACTACACTGCCACTGGAATTCAAACAAAAATTCTTCTTTATTACATGTTTAATTAGTAATTTCGTACTCGCATAACTATACCATATGATTTGGTACTGCAATTTTTTTATACGTATGAATTACAAATTACAACGAGGAATGTGCATGTTGTTTTTATTTTTTTTATTAGATCGATTATAATAGTTTTTAGTTGTATATTTTTTTTAATGATGATGTTGATATAAAATATTAATTATTTTTTTATGAATATTTATGAAAAAACTAATTTACTTAAAAGGAGATCTAATATTACTTGCAACTACAACTTGAAAATTGTTGGTTGGTAGTGCAATTTCAATTCACTCTTAAAAGTTATTTATTTTACTTCATATTGTATACAAGTATTTTCGAGTATATGCCATTAAAAGTAAATAAATAAAATGTTTGTGTATGCCAATTTTTAATACTTTATTGTTATCAACTATCATGTAACTATGGTATCTTTAAGTTCTCTAACACTTATACAAAATCAAAATGAATAATGTTAAACCACAAAAAGAAAATGATAACTTTTCTCAAAACGTCAAAGAATTGGAAATGAAAATGCTTCTTTCATGCATTTTTATTTTAGCTCTTTTTGGCACCAATGGGTAACAAAAACCTATGGAAAAAATAAAGACATTAGAAGGAAAAATAGTTAAAATAGTATCGATAAAAAAATTCATATCTTTTAAGATAGTGAAGTAGTATATTAACAATAAGAATATAGATAAACAAATAAGGAGTGACATAAGATTTTTTATACTCTGATTGTCTCAACTATTGAAATTACTTCTAATTTTTTATCAACTCGATCAAGTTTTATTATATTTTACAAATATATAAGTATTTTTTCACAAGTTATTTTTAATTCAACCTAAGTATTCTTTTACTTATTTCTTCATGTAACTATCCAAGTATTTTTTAAACATAAAATCTCTCTGAACTTCAAATAATTAAGTATCTTTTTACAGTTAAGCTTAAAGCAATGACACTAAGTTAAAGCTATGTAAGATTAAAGATGTCAAAGTGAGTTAACTTGAGGTGAGTCAAACATCACCCGAGTTGGCTCACTATAGGTTGATGTTTTAAACGGGTCAATCTAACCCAATTCACTTTTTAGTGAACTAAGAAAATTTCAACTTAGCTCAACTCACCACAGGTTGGTGGGTTCACTCACCAAAATTTTTAAAATAAAAATAAATTAAAAATCAATTAAATGTTTATGTTTTTAATAAATAAAATAAAGAGTTACAATTTTTTATATTTAAAAACAAAGTCAATCATTAATTCAAATGCAAATATATAAAAAAATATCAATCAAAATTTCAAATGACAACTACATAATATATATATATATATATATATATATATATATATATATTCA